TACAGGAGTAGATAGGAGAGTCCAGCTGGCTTCTGCAAAGCCAAGCATGAAAGAGACTTTTCAGAAATGCTAACAGTGTCTTCCTTCTCACTCAATCCATTTAGTTTTAGAGAATATCACTTTTCATAAAAACGTTGTTTATGTGAACATGTGATGAGTTTAAAATTGCTGTGGAAGTGAATAAACATTTTTAAATGTTTTCAGTTTTAACTCATAATATGGCAACTATAGAAAGAGATAACCCATGTGAACAAAAGTTCTTTGAGGTCCTCAGTGATTTTTTTTTTAATTGTTTATTTATTTATGGCCGCACTGGGTCTTCACTGCTGCACACGGGCTTTCTCTAGTTGCAGCAAGCAGGAGCTACTCTCTAGCTGCAGTGCGTGAGATTCTCATTGCAGTGGCTTCTCTCGTGGCAGAACACAGGCTCTAAGGCACGTGGGCTCAGTAGTTGGGGTGTATGGGCTTAGTTATCCCACAGCTTGTGGAATCTTCCTGGACCAGGGATCGAACCTGTGTCTCCTGCATTGGCAGGTGGATTCTTGACCAGTGAGCCACCAGGGAAGTCTTCCTCAGTAACTTTTTAAAATGTAAATGAGTCGTTAGACCAAAGAGTTTGAGAAGGCTGCCATGTGTCATGGTCCTCACTACGCTGGCCACATGGGGGTTTCAGCACACACTCGCCCAAATCAGCTCATCCAAGCTCAAATCAACAGGGACCTGCAGTTGATGTTCTGTATGAGTCTCTGAGATCTCCCAAGGAACACTGCACTGTGCTAGCATGCCTCACTGCAAACCTTCTGAATTGCGGAGAATTTACCCAGCCCAGGATCACGAGGCTGGGTGTCCAAGTAAGATACACACCTGCTGTCTAATCGGCAGCCAGAGGTGTTCCTAGCAGCCTCTGCTCCCCCATCCTCTGATAAACCTCGCCCCTTCAGGGACCAGCACTACCCCGTTCTCAGCCCCAGTGGTTCAGAAGGCTCCAAAGACAGTCACGTGACCCAGACCCAGCCGGAGAGGTTGGTTCAGAACTAGTTACGTGACCAAGTCAGGGTCTATCAGAGCCAGTGAGCATTTGTCCCAAGTTGTCGTTGAAAACACTGGGAGAAAAGAGCTCTCTTTTCACTGGTAGGATAAAAGCCTGGGGCCTCGAGGGGCCATATTCTAGAGCATCTGATGGTACCACCCCTGGGAGAGAGGTTGCCTGAGAATTAATCCAAATTTGGAAACAAATTCCTGCTTCTACCATTTGAGCACCTGGATTCAGCTCTGCTTGGACTTCTTGGTCATGTGTGCCATTAAATGCCTTTTCCTTTAAATTAGTTTGAGTTGAGTTTCTCTTCTAGCTAACAGTCTGAAAAACTCATTGTAATCAGACCCAAGACCTGGCTGGTGGGGAAGTTCTGGGAGAGCTTGGGGTGAGTCATCCCCCAGCAGCATCCCTGAAGCCCACCACAGTTCCGGAGCCTGGGTGGGACACTCTTTTGCCCACTGGAGACGCAACAGATCCCCTTTCCCAACAACAGAGCTAGTTAACGACACACGGATTTTTCTTTCACTTTATCATTTATAAAGCCATACAATGGATCGCAAAGAAACAGAGCATTGTACAGGAGTGGAACAGCTTCAGTGTACAATACATTCATATCCAGGATAAGTCGCGTACATCAGGGTTTATACAAGGTGACAGAGGTTACAGGCACAAAGATACAAAATAGAAAGTATATTTCCATCTATATAAATACACAGCCAGGGGAACGGGAGGATGCTGGGTTTTTCCTGCAGAGGGTCTGGGAGGCAGGGGCAGGAGTCGGGGTAAGGAATTCCTTACATTTGTTTTGAATGGCATGTCAGAGAGGAGAGAGGTGGGGAAACAGCATGCCCGCACACACGTGCTCTCTCTCACACAGACACGAACCACACGTGGGCACGCAGAGGAGTCTCCAGCTGCTGAACACTGATTAGAAACAAAAGTGGGCTGTCTCTGTACAATTAACCTTGCCGCTGGGAAGCGCCCAGGTGTGGGAAGTAAACAGAGGCCCTCCAACATTCCAGCCATCTGAGGACAGAGGAGCACCGCTGTGAGGTTGACCCCCATTGCCACTGATGCTGGGATTCCCCCGGTCAGGGGACCCTACAAGCCTCGCTTCCCGATTCCTTTCGCCACTGGGTGATAGTGAACTTGACATCCCATTGCCCACCACCTCCAACCCAACTCCTAAGTTCCCTAAAGAGACAAGCAAAATACGCGCACACACACACACCCACACTTGCACACGCGCGCACACACTTTCTGTGTTACCACTGCCCAGGGCACTCCAGTCTCAGGATGCCGGGGCCTGGACTCGGGTGAGGAGTGGCCCCAGGATGCTGCCCGCCCCCCAGCCTCTCCCAGGACCCCAAGGGTGGGGAGATGTAGAGGCAGCAGGAAGCCTTAGAAAAGACATTGGCCCCCTTGACTCCCCCAGATTCTGAAGCTGGAAAAGCCCAAAGCGGGGGAGAAGGCCCAGGAGGCAGGGCTGGTGACAACGCAGGAAAAGGGAGCAGAGACACCGTTCTAGGCACAGACTTGTCCACAGACCCCTGGGTGGTGTGGGGGGTCTGCCCAACCTCTGCTCAGCCCATCTGAGTGGGCAGAAGAATGCCCAGCCCATCTCCCTCCTGGGACCCCCTTTCAGAGAATCACATCTGTTCCACCAGCTCCCCCTTATAGTCACGCAGCCACGGGGCCCCCACCCCTATCCTGTCTGTCTCTGACACACCCAGGGAGCCCTCCAAACCCTGCCAGGGGAGAAGGAATCCTGGCAGTCCACAAGCATCTGGAACTGCTGTGGGAGAACTTCCAATGAGGCCCTGGGTCCAAAGGCCTTTCCCAAATCTAGGACACAAAGTCTCTGTCTCTGGAACACCTGGCTGGCAGCCAGAACACCACAATCAATCGCAGGGCAGGGGCATCTCTCACCCCTGGAACTCCATCCAGCAGCTCCCTTCCTCCCCACTTCCCCTCTGAGGTCACCTCTCCCCTGTTCCCACGCCCAGTCCTCCCCTCTGGCTCCATCTGGGAAGGACCTCCTGAACCTGGCTGGGCCTCTGTCCCTGCTGAATGGGAGGGCTGTCACTTCCCTGCCCTACCCCCTCCCCCGCCAGATACATACAGGACAGCTACCGCGAGGCCCCGACTGCCTCAGAGGGCTGGCTGCACACAAGATGCAGGTTGGGCTGCAGCCCGAGCCTGCCTGGGGTCTCTGTCCCTGCCTTCCAAGCTGACCGGGGCCTCCTGCCTACGCCTCCCATCCCCTTTCCCATCCCCCGCTCCCCAGCCCACTTTCAAGACCAGAAGGGGCACTCTCCTGGCTGACGAACAGATTCAACAATAAACAACAGCAAGGAAGATTGAGGGGGAGGAGTGGGGAGAAAAAAGGATAAACATTTACACAACAATAACAATAATTATTAAAAGTGCTTCTTTCTTTTAAAGGAAATCTTTGGCAAGAACATACTGCAATGCTATGGTGTGGTGTGTGTGTGTGTGCGTGCGTGTTGTGTGCACGGGTGCAGGGTGCACGGGCCTAACCTGTGAGACACGGAGGGTTACAGTGTCTTCCCAAGCGCTGTCCGACCCACAGGTGAGGCTGTGGTGGAGATTGGGGTAAGCCTTCCCCATCGTTCTTCTGGACAGGCCACATGCTAGGAAACTGGCTCCCTCCAGAAGCATGTGGGGCAGGGGGTGGATCGGCTTTCCAGCATCTCCTGGGGCCTTCCCAGAGTCGCACACGGTCCAGGCCTGAGTGGGGTGGGGTCTGGCTGGTCATTCTTGGTGGTGGGCTGCTGGTGGGCGGTGGAAAAGCACGTGTGAGGGGTCTGACGCTCCGCCCGGCCATCTAGACCAGGAGGAAAAGAGTCCCCGGGCAGTCCAGTGGGAGATTTACAAAGGAAGTAGGTGGGAATATCCTCTTTTGCCTGGGAAGACAGTTGGGGTTAGGCAGGGAATGAAAGAGGGGAAATCGGGGTGTCTGGCTTGAAGGCCTCAGAAGGAAGAGCCCCTGGGATGAACCTTGGTCACCAAAATCAAGGTTTCCATCTTTGGAAAGTGAGGTGGTAGAGGGATGCTCCCCGCCACCTTCAGACGCTCTCCTTTCCAACTCCCTGAAACAGAACGTCCACACAGATACAGCTTCTTGGAAAAGAAAAACTACAAATGCACACGTCACCCATGCCCACCACGCGCACCCGTGTCCCTGCAGGCTCATGCACCTGCCCTTGCAGGGCCCGCAAGGAGGCGGGCAGCTCCCCCGTCATCTCTGGGGTCTGACAGCCAGGCCTGGGCTTGCCAAAAATGAGAAGGGATGAAGGGGGTGAAACGCATGCACCCCCTCTCTGCTGAGCCCCCATCAGAGTCTAGGGAAGGCCAAGGCCTGTTCAAGGAGACCCCTGATAGCTCCAAGGATGAAGGCCCTGACCTTTTAGGCTTCGCTTGGAACACAGAGAGGGATGGGGATTGGATTATGCCGCGGAGGCAACAAAGCAGTATGGGAAAATAATAAATACTTCTTGTCAATTTGCCTATTCTTTTTTTTTTAACCTTTCTTATATTTTATTAGCTTACAGATTCTGTCAGTATGTCTCACATATATATTATATATATTTATATATCAGTACAGTGCCTCTCTCTAGGGAACCCAGAGGCTTAAGAATCTACTCAAGGATGGAGTCCTGGTGGATTCTTCCATCCGGCTTAGAGTGCTTGGGTGGTGGTCAGGGGGTTCCCAGTTGCCCAGCTGGACTCTCGGCCCTTCGACCTAAATGTGTGCCTTCTGCCCTCTGGTCCACGGCAGCTGGGCTTTGGGGGAGAAACAAGGGAGAAGGGTGGGGAGCAAGGCTTTGGTGTCAGAGCAGGCCATGTGGTGTGCAGCAAGCAGCCCCCAGAGCTCTGGCCAGCTCCCCTGGGCAGCCCAGCAAAATTAGACCCCCAAACCCTTACAGAGGGGGTACAGGAACTACAGGGGTCTCCCCTGGGTCTCGCCAAGCAGGGCTTCTAGAAGCAGGTCCCGGGATGAGCCCCAACACAGGGACCCTGCAGGACAGAACAGGGCGGGGCAGGAAGGCTCGTTTCGCAGCACCCTAAAGGCATCCTGAACACGGGGCACATCTGAGAACGGCTGATCTGGGACACGAAAGCCAAGAAGGGGCTGAGGACTGGAAGCGACGGGAGCCCCCTGCCTGCCCCGAGGCTGGGCCACACGCCTCGGAAAAGGCTCCCCGAGCTGGGCAGCCACCCTTCCTGAGGGGTCTCTCCCCCAAAGCCCTGGACACATCTGTCCTCATCTCCTCAAACCAATGCCCCAGCCTCCAGATGCCAGCAGGTCAGGGGGAACGCTGCAGCATGGCCAGCCCCATTCCATGGGGGTCTCTGCTGAGGAGAAGGGGCTGGCGGCCCCGAAGGCTGTTAGAGCAGGTGCAGGGACCAGGAAAGTCCATTACCTACAATGCCAGGTGCCCCTGGGGAAGTGGACTTACGCCCCCTCCTTGCTGCCCTGCCACCCCATCCCCGACTCTTTCTTGCTTTGGACGGTGTGCACATGTGTGTGCAAACACAGGGGACAAGTATACCTGTTTATAATTCTAGCTGAGAGGCAAACAGAAATCAGTGAGTGAGGATGTGGGCATGGCCATATATACACCCCAGAAACACACCCACAAACTGTACATCAGAGGCAAAGCAAAGAGACCTTAGGTGCCTGGGGTCTGAGATACTTTCAGAAGCAAAAGTTCTGCCGCTGGACGTCCCATGCAGGCTCTTTTTGGTTTGGTGATCTACCCCAGAGGTGGCCAGAGAAAGATTCTCCATGGGATTTCTCCTTGCAAAGCAGTTGGGTTAGGGAGAAAGAGCTTTTCCATTTTCATTCAAAATGTGGGTCTCCAAGGAGACCAGTCCTGTCTCCCCTGAGGAGCCCCATCAGAGGGTGGAGGGGGACTTAAATGGACCTGGTGAGTTTTGGAGGCTCTGGGGGTTTCGCAGTATCCATCTCCCCAGGGGAATCTGAGTTATTCTCCTCCATCTCCTTCTTTCTTCCTCTCTCTCTCCCCCTCCCCGCTCAATTCACTTTCCTCTCCCCACGTGACACTTTCTTCTCTCCTTCTCCAAAATGGCCCAAAGTCCTCCTTCTGGGTTCAAGGATGGTCAGGATTCATGGGTCCCCTCCCCATATGCCCCATCCCCACTGCCCTGGCCCTGGGCAAGGGGTGGCAGGGGCTCATCTCTTCTGGCCGGCACTCAGCATGACCTTGGAGACAAAGTTGACGATGGCGGAGGCCGGCTGGTTGGGGTCAAGCTCAGCAAAGAGGTGGCAGGCGTTGTCCGTGGTGCTGCCCTGCTTCCGGGCCACGAAACCGAAGAGCCTGCAGGGGCAGGAGACAGGAGACAGGTGTGAGTGGGAAGGAGGAGGAACCCCAGGCCTTGGAGAAACACCCAGGAGAGCAGGCTCATCTTTGCTCCCTTCCCCGTCTCTCTCCACCTCCCCAAGCACTGGGCATTGAGGGTGATGCCCACAAGAAACCCTCTCTTCCCTTCACCAGCAAGGAAACCCACACCTGGAGATGGCATGTCACTTGTTCAGGGTCAGCAGAAATTCCCCGTGGCAGGGGGTAGGCGAAGAGAAGGAGGAGGTGGTGGAGGCGAACGAATGACAAGACCAGACAGCAAGAGGTGGAGATGACACCAAAAATAAAATGGAACATTCCTAAACCAGCTTCTCTCAGCCCGTCCCTGCCACACCCCTGGCCGAATGTCCTTACACACAACACATAAACAAAACGCCATCTGCCTGTCAAAGGGCTTGTCCTCAGACACCAGAGGGTCAGGGAGACCAAAGAACAGGGGGCCACTGTCCCCCACCGCATACACACACACACACACACACATTTCTCCTGTGCTCTAGAGAATGGGAGGAGGCAGGACCCCACACCTGTTCCCCCACCCTGACTCCCCACACTAGGACTGGAGTGACCGAGCATTCTCTCTTTGCAAAACAGAGTTAAAAATACGAGCGCAGAGAACAGAATGTGAGCTCAAGTCCCCTCCCAGTCGGCACGTTGCTAATTAGAGCTGGATGGGGAAATCGGGACAGCTGGGGATTCCAATGGAAACCCCTCGCCCAGGACTGGACACAGCAGCTAAAATTAGCCAGGCTGGGTCTGGCTTGCCATCCCGTGCACACATGCGTGTGTACACACACACATACACACACAGGGGGCTTCCCACAGCTTTGCTCTTCCCAAATGTGTTTCAGGGGCTGAATCGACCCAGTCAGCTCAGAGGCCTGGGGTGATCATCTGCCCAGGAGGTGGGGAAGGTTGGGGCTGTGGACCACTCCCCAGAGCCCCTTCTCCAGCCTTGCGGGGTGGGGGGTGCAGTGGAGGGAGCGGAGGGCAGAGGGAGGGAGCGGCTCCAAGCTGCCAGCGTGACAGCGAGCCCACTCCAGCTCACTTATGCCAAGATGAGAGCCAGTCAACCTCTCAGGCCTGAACACTGCCCACCTGCCCTCCCCTGGTGTTTATTTCAGCTCTGTAGGTCCCTGGGCCAACTCAACCGTAGCCCAAGCTCTTTCTCGGCTTGGAGGAGTCGATGCAGGCAAGAAACGTCAGCCCCGAGGGTGGAGAGGAGCATGACAAGCACCCGAGGGCAAGCACCTCCTTAAATGTGGGGCCCAGGGCATCTCGCTGGCCTCACCCTGGTCCAGCCCTGAGCTCTCCTGGGCCTCAGCAAGGGTGAGTCATAAGGAAGCTCCACACAAAACCTGCTCTTAAATAAGGAATTTCCAGACGTGGGACCAACCTGCTTCAGTCCCTGACCCATCTCCCACCTGCAGGGCCCGGCGGTAAGGAAGGAGAAGACCCTTCAAACAGAGAGCTCTTGCCTCCCGGCTGGCAGAAGGGACTCAAAGACCCTAATAATTCTGTGAGTCTCAGAGGCAGCTGAGACAGAGGGAGGCAAGCTTCGAGAGGGACTGGACACCGAGGCATACATGACCGTGGGCCAGAAGACGTCTCCTCCATCCCTCACAGCCCCTCTGGACACCCCCAGAGGGAGACTCATCATGCCAGTGCTGGTCAGTTCTACTCATCTGGACCATGGTGGCCTCACTGGGCCTCCTCCTCACTCTCCATCTCTCTGCCTCCATCTTTTCATTTCTTTCTTTATGCAGTAGACACAGTCCTGCCCTCAGGAGCTTGCAGTCTGGCGGCTTCCCTTTCCCATCCCATGAAATCAGCTCTCTCTTACCCCTTGCACCCATTTCTACCTGTCTTATAAGACCTATTTTTAAATACAGGTTCTTTCCCCAGGTGGTGCTGGTGGTGAAAGAACCCATCTACCAATACAGGAGGCAGGAGATGTAAAAGACATGGGTTCAATCCCTGGGTTGGGAAGATCCCCTGGAGGAGGGCATGGCAACCCACTCCTATATTCTTGCTGGAATCCCATGGACAGAGGAACCTGGCGGGGTATAGTCCAAAGGGTCTCACAGAGTCAGACATGACCAAGCTACTAACACTTTTCCCCAAATCTCTCCCTGCCTAGAAGCACTCTGCCTCATGATACCACAGATGTGAGCTGTCCCCTCCTGACATGCCTCATTAAGCAGTGGTTGTAATTTTCTTTTTTTAACAGTGAAAGTTTCCTTTCTCTAAAGCCAATCTCATATGAAGTCTGGATATGTAAAGGTGACAGTATTTATGGCAATAAATGTAACAATTCAACAGCATAACATCGACCTATGATACAATCAATCAGAAAAAATGGGGCTGTCTGGATACGCCTGACGAAGTACAAGGTGGAATTATAGACCTCAGTGAGTCTTATGCCAGCTTTATTAGCCAGCTTATTCCCATGCTTTGTTTTACTGAGAAAAACTCTGATTCATGCTGATAAATATCGTAAATCACAGCAGAGTTTTTCCTCCCCTCAAGCAGCCCAATTACACCCAAGGAATCTAGGGTTCCTTAGAACACAATTTGAAAATCACTGCAGCACCTTAGCCCATTTATACACTTCTCTCATCTACCGCGCCAACATCAGGCACCCAAGGGCAGAGCCAGCCTCCTGGTTGGTCTGAATTTTCTGAGGGCTGAGTTCCCTGGGAGCGCTTAAAAATGCTGAAATGGATGGAAAATTGACCAAAGGGCCACAAGGCAATCCCTGGAATTCTGGGAGGAATTCAGACCTCCCAGACTTGTGCAGTCCAGGGAGGAGGCCTAGTCTCCCAGGAAAGCGGGAAAAGGAGTCAACGAAGCCAGGATTGCGGCAGAAAAGGTCATTTAAACAACCCCTGCCCCACTGCCATCACCCCCCAGTAAAACTCTGGGTTCTTGATTCCCTTCCTCAGCCTCTGATGGTCTGGTTCTGGGAGCAGGACGGGGATAAGGCGGGAGGCCAGGCCTTCAGCTCCAGGCAGGAGGTCACAGACCTGGCTGCCTGGGCCAGGTTTTCTCCAGAGCCACCTTTTGCTTGCTCCCTGGTCCTGGAGTTTAACCCGCTCCCTCACCCACCTCCCCCTGTGCCAAGGACCACAACAACCAGCCGGCCGGGTTGGGGAAAAGGACACTTACTTAGCAGGGGCACCTCCCTCCGTCTTCGTCCACCTAGGGAGAGAGCGAGGACACAGCGTAAACCATCACTTCCCCCTCAGAGCCCAGCCCCAGCGCCCAGACCCCTGGGGAAGACACAGCCCCGCTGCCAGGGCCCCAGGGTCTCTAAAGACTACATGGAGGGGGGCTGTTCACAGTGGAGCGATGGAGCGAGCACCGTGGCCTGCTTCCCAGGGCGCTGTCCCCAGTGTGGAGAGGGAAGCAGCTGCAAGGTCAGAGGGGTGGAAGCAGGCATTTGAGTCCCCAGGAGGGGCTTCAAATCTGTGGGGGAAAACGCAAAGAGATGCCAACGCAGCCATGCCACTCACAGTCCCACAGACACAGGCAGATCCCCAAATTGAACCAAGAATGCACACCCTTACACCTGCAGCACACACATGAGTGCACACACACTTGCACACAATCACACATGTATGCACACACACAGACTTCCAAGGTTGGAGAGATGGCTGGGAGGGCAGGTGTCCACAAGAGACTTACTTCCTCTCCTGTGGATCCAGGTCACAGAAGGTCACGGTGTTGAGAGGGTAGTGTCGCCTGAAGAAGAGCCTGTGGCACACCCATCAAATAAACAGTAAGCGCTGAAGTGACTGCTCTTCCCCACCCCCCACCGCAGGCCAGGCCACCACCTCTGGCTGTCACAGGTCAACACAACCTCTCCCTGATGAGCACAATGGCCTGGGCTGCTCCCCTTGGGAACATAAAGCAATGCACAGGGACAGAGAGATGTGTCACAGAAACATGTCCCAAATGCTAGAGACTAGGGAAAGAAGGAAGAAACTGGCCTTGAGGAATGAGAAATGGGGGGACCCTGGAGGAGGAAGAAAAGAGCCTGGGGAGAGAACATGAGAGAAAGGGTCTCTGCTCCAGAAAGCAGGGACTTCTACCAGCTGTATTTATAGCTATATAGCCAATGCAGGCATGTTTGTAGAAGGAAGGAAGAATGGATGAATGAATGGATGAACAGATGAATGGATGGATGGATAGAGGGAGACATAAATGAATGAAGGGGAAAATGGGTGGGGAAGATGGATGGGGGATGAATAGATGCAGGAATGGATCGATCAATTAGTAAGTGGGTGAGCAAGTGGATGGATGGGTGGGCGGGTAGATGGATGGGTGAATGAGTGGATGGGTGGGTGGATGGATGGGTGGTTAGATGGGCAGAAGGGATGAATCAGCTGGTGAGTGGGTTGGTACATGTATGGATAGACGGGTCACAGGGCGGTGGGGTTGCCCAACACAGAAGCAAGTAGAAGAGTCTTACTTTCTCTGGTTGTCAGTCAGCGTAATTCCCTGGGCAGAAACTTTGAAGTGAACGACGGTGGCAGCTGGTGTGGGGTCAGCAGCCAGGGTCTCGGAAGTGGCTTTGGAGATGGCCTGTGGCCCAGTAAGTGACTCCATGTCCACCGAGTTGACGAAGAGCACGTTGCAGGCTGGGAAAAGACCCACCCGAGGGGGAGTCATGGGGACCGAGGTGGGTGGGGACCATCCCCAGGTCCTCTTTTCAGGGAGAAGGCAGCAGATGAATTTCAGGCCAGCCTTGGACCAAGGCATTGCACACAGAAATGTGGTCTCCCTGGGGACCTCTGGGTCTGGGAGTGACAACTAGCCTGCACCTGCAGGAGGGTACAGGGCCGGGGGGAGGAAAGGTCTGGGCAGGGATCCCGTCTGGGGTGCCCACTCACCTGCCCCTTGCTTCAGCAGGTCACTGGTTGAGTTGGCAGGGCCCGAGCTATCTTTTGATTCATCTGTGGGGTCTGAGACAAAAATTTAATTCAGCTGGTAATTAAAACCCCAGAGCTGGAAAGAAGCACAGGCTTGGCTGGGCCTCAGGCTAGCTCTGCAAACATTTGCGCAACAGATACTGCTGCTCATAACCAGCCCTGCCAGTCGGCACGTGTGTCCAGCTTGAACGTACAGCGATTGCTCTAAGAATTCAGTATCCTGGCTGGGAGCTCTGGGGTCCCACAGAACCAGGTTCAGGCAATTATCAGCTATCTACAAAACAGAGGTGAAGATGGGAATACCCACTCATTGGGCTTTTGAGATGCTCTGTAAATGGTGTTAGTCCCTGATTAACAAAAAGCAAGCCTTCACGTGGCCATTGATGTGGTTTTTTTGCATCAACATGTCTTTGTGTAAACCAGTAAACACTCTAATCCATTAAACCATAAGGCAGCACAACTATAATTTCAACAGTAATAAGAATTGAGTACAGTGGTGCTAGTAGTAAAGAACCTGCCTGCCAATGCAGGAGGCATAAGAGATGCGAGTTCAATCCCTGGGTTGAAGATCGCCTGGAGGAGGGCATGGCAACCCACTCCAGTATTCTTGCCTGAAGAATCCCACGCACAGAGGAGCCTGGTGGGCTACAGTCTATAGGGCTGCAAAGAGTCCAACACAACTGAAGCAACTTAGCACGCAATTTATGCCAGCATTTCCTAGACTTTGGTATACAGGTTTGTTAAAACATGCATTTCTGGGCCCCACTCCAGAGTTTCTGATTAGCTGGGGCTCGAGAATATCTACATTTTTAACTAGTTCCCAGGAGTGCTGATGCTGCTTCTCTGGGGACCATATAATGAGAACCACTGTTTTATACGATGTAAATAAATAGCAGTTATATAATTGTGAAGTTACTTTGGTAAATTCCTTAGAAATACAATTTAATTAGTGTCTAAATTATATGGTTAATGGGACTATTTAAATAGTATTTGAACTTTTAAGTTAATAACAGTCAATTATCATTAATAATTCAATGAACTGGATTCGATACACAGAAATTGCCAAATAATATTGGAGATTTTAACTGTGGACATAACCCCAGCAGCTCCAAGAGGGACTGAAAGCAAGTCCCAGACACAATTCTGTATATTCCATTACTGGGCAGAGAACATGGGGAGAAGACACCCCAGTTCCCTGTTCCTGGAGCTCAAGTTCATGACCAGGCATATTCCTTTCCCCTTGTGGGAGCCCCACGTACCTGGGACTGCATGAAGGAAGCCTGTGTTGTTGAAGAGTTTGGGGTGTCCATCGGCCCTCCTCTAAGGATGAGGCACCTCTCTCAGAGAAACTAAAAATCTCCTTTGCTGGCCCCAGTGTCACTCAAATTCTCGCCCTGTATGTCCAGAGGCTCTTGGGGTCCATGCTTACTTCCCACAGTCAAGAGAGCTGGCTCCTCCCATCAGCCTCAGGTCCCTCCTGGCCATGCAAACCAGAAACTCCAGGGACATCTTAGGCTTCCTGTTTCCTTCCCAAGCCACGCACAGTGCAGCCACCTCCTCCTCTAAGTGATCCCTCAAGTGTACTTTCCCGTCTCCATTAGACACCTGGACGCCCCATGGCCTACCTCTGCCTTCCCCTCCCCCTTCCCTTGGCCCTGCCCACTGATGCCCATCTCCTCCGCCGGACACAGTCCTCCCCACCATGGCTGTTTCCTGCTTCGAGCACCTCCCCTGGGATGAAGCTTACTTCTGAGGACACAGGAATAAATTCTTAAAACCTCCAGAGGATTTTCCAGAACAATCTGGCAAGTCAATTATGTATGTTTCTGGAATTAAGCTTTTAAGTGAACTTTCTCTTCTTTTTTTATTAGAAAAAATAAAGCGGAGAGTGGTTTCGAGTTTCCCCAGATTGGCAGCATGACCCGTTTCCTCCAAGCCTGGCCCACGTTCTGGAGCAGCTGGCTGGGGGCTGAGACACAGAGGAGGCCAGCGCAAGGGTGCGCTTGGAGGGCAAGGAGTCTCAGGTTCCTACCTCGGTTTGGAATGACCAGCTTGCAGGGCAGGGCCAGCGGGATGATGGAGTGCTGGTAGACCAGGGCAGACAGAGATCCTACAGAGAGAGACAGCCCGGCAGCAGCAATGTTATTAGGAGCAGGCCACGGGCACTGAGGATCAGCCCACCCACCCCAGCCCTCCATCCATAATCTTCCGCTTCTTTATTACCTCTCCCTCATCCCACCCACAAAGTTGAAACTTCAATCTCTCTTTGTTAGCCCAAGATCTAAGGGGGAAGATTCTAAAGGCTCACTGTGGGCATCAGAAGGGTACCCTACAGCTTTCCTTTATTGACAGTTACACCCAGCATCTCTCCTACATCCTTCCCGCTGCCGGGGACCCTCTCAGGAGAGTGTAGCAGAAGTGTCAGAAGATGGCGGGATCAAATCCACACTCAGGAACTTACAAGACATGTGTCCCTGGTAAGTCTAACTCCTACGAACCTGTTTCCTCGTGTGTAAAATGGGACCATGACACCTACCACACAGGATGGTCAGGAGACCAGAAGTGATATAAAGTACCTAAGGTGGCTTTCAGCTTCCAAGGTGGCACTAGTGGTAAAGAACCTGCCTGCCAATGCAGGAGACATAAGTGACGCAGGTTCGATCCCTGGGTCGGGAAGATCCCCTGGAGGAGGGCATGGCAGCCCACTCCAGTATTCTTGCCTGGAGAATCCCATAGAGAGAAGAGCCTGAGAGGCTACAGTCCATGGGGCCGCAAAGAGTTGGACACAACTGAAGTGACTTAGCACACAACGTGGCTTTCACACAGCAGCCTTTGTTAATTGTTGTTATTCCACCGATCACAGTAACAGGTCCCCATGGGGCAGGACAAAAACAGAAAGGAATTTGGCCGAGTGAAGGTACCACAGCACAGAGGAAGGGAGTCACGGTGCATTTCCCTGCTGCATCTATGACAAAGGTGACAAGACAGAAGCTGCAGCAGGGAAGCCGGGACAGGCCTGAGACTGTGGGGAGGCAGGGGTGGCTCACCGAAGTTTGGCTCGTTGGGGCAGCCCTTGAGCTTGACTCCTCTGGGGCCGGTCTCTATCAGGAAATGCCTCACGAGCTCGTGGGTCATGTCCCCTGGGACGAAGAGAAAGAAATGTGGATGGGTCACTGCTCATGGCATCCCCACCACCACCTCCCAGCACCACTTCCCAACTTCTCCAGTGAGTGAGGCTGTGATGGAGAAAGGTTCACAGCGATAACATGGCCAGAACCCTGGGATGGAGAGACCACCACTGCTAGCCACCTCTCATGGAAACTCAGTCACAGGGTTCCAGTCCTCTTGCTCCCCTGTTCTCTGACCCCGGTCATCACCAAGCTCAAGACCCATCTTTCTAAAGAGTCTGACTAGCAGGGACCAGCTCCCATGAGAACCAAGAGACCTGCACATCTCATCCTACCCTCTCACCCCCCACATCCCTACCCCCAACCCTGGTCCTTCTAACAGATCAGGACCTAAAGAGACTGCAGGGACCCCCTGGTCCTGAGCCCTGCTGGACAAGCTGGTGTTACCTTTTTTATTCTGCTGCATAATGGTCGGAGGGGGTGAAGACACCTTCATAGCCAGCCCATAGGCTCCCCGGAAGGAGTGGCTGTCACGGATGATGAAAGCCCCTGGCTCCTGGTCCTTAAGGAGGGCGATAGCTGAGTCAGGAGAGAAGAGGAAATGAGAAACTGATGCACTGGTTTCACCAGTTCAGTGGACATGAACTTGGGCAAACTCTGGGAGATGGTGAGGGACAGGGAGGCCTGGTATGCTGCAGTCCATGGGGCCACAAAGTGACTGAACAACAACTTCACTTAGGTCTTATCAGGCCTCAAATCTCACTCTTTCTCAGGTGAGATGAGAGCCCCTAAAGTTAAAATGTAAACACTCCTAAGGGTCCTCCTACACTAAAGTCAGCAAAATTTTTCTGTAAAGAGCCAGACAGTCAATATTTCAGGCTTCGCAGGCCATGCAGGGTTGGCTGCAGCTATTCATGGCTGCGATCACAGCCCAGAAGCAGCCCAGACAGTGAGTAAACCAATAGATGGGGCTTCCCTAATATTCAGCAGGTAAAGAATCCACTTGCAACACAGGAGATGCAGGTTCAATCCCTGAGTCGGGAAGATCCTCTGGAGGAGGAAATGGCAACCCACTCCAGGATTCTGGCCTGGAAGATCCCATGGACAGAGGATCCTAGTGGGCTACAGTCCATAGGGTTGCAAAGAGTCTGACATGACTGAGTGACTGAGCATAGGATGCTGCAAGAAAACTGTATTTATGAAAACAAGCAGCAGTCTGGATCTGACCCGTGGCTGGAAGTCACCCTGCCCTACATCCACACAGACTTTTCATAGCCGATGCCTCTCGTCTCCATCCCCACAGCCCCAACTATGTTCTTCTATAAAATGTGCAGAAACCTCCCACATCATGCAGATGGAGGGCTAAGGTTCCATATGATCTCAGCCAGCCTTTTCATTTTGCCCTGGAAAATCAAGACTTTGCAGCTTTTAAGGAACTGGCTACAACCATGGCTCCTGCTCCCTGCCCTTGGCCTTGGGAAGGTGCCTCCTACTGTCTAAGCTTGGGGCCAGGTCCTCTCTGTGACCACCACCACTGCAGAGAGGAGTGAGTCTGCTTATATCCCTTGCCCAGGGAAGACAAGGTGGACAGTGGCCAGTGTGACCTCGGATGGACCCCAGGACCTTCAGTGTCATCCAACACTCACCCTGTTCTCTGGAGATCTCAGGCTTGTACCAATACTTGGAAGTGTCTTGGACAAACTTCACTTTAGCCCGCGTCTCAGGACTGTTGTCTAAAGAAGGAAAGGACAGGAGGTGTTATGATTCTCCATCTCTGTCCCCCCAAAAAGATATGTTAGAATTCTAACCCCCAGGACCAGTGAATGGAACTTTATTTGAAAATAGTCCTTTGCAGATGTAACCAAGTTAAGATTCAGTCATGCCGGATTAGAGTGGACCCCAATCCAATATGACTTATGTCCTCATAAAAAAAGAGGAAGGGAGACAAAGCATCATGGGAAGATGGAGGAAGAGAATGGGGAGACGTGTCTACAAGCCACGGGACCCCAAGACTGCCAGCCACCATGAGGAGCAAAGAGAAAAGCCTGGAACAGAGTCTCCCTCAGGGTCTGCAGATGGAGCCAGTCCTGCCAACACCTTGACTTTAGACTTCCCAGCTCAGCTACAATGAGAGAAGCGACTTGTGCTGTCTTAAGTCACCAAGTTTGTGGTCCTCTGTCATGGCTGGCCTAGGAAACTAACACAGGAAAAAGATCTGCTCAGACCTCATCAGAGCATTGCTGGAAGGGGCCTCAAGCTGCTTCCTCCCCCATCTCCCAACAACCACTGTGGGTCACGCAGCTGTCCTCCTGCTGAAGTGCCTGAACAGCATCTTCCCCCAGCCAGCGAGAGTCCTACTCCAGCCCACCTCGCCCTTTCTCTAGAAGAGTCAGACTAAATCCTTCCTGAAGCTCTCTCCCACCTTCTAGTCCCTTTCTCCACAGCTCAATTTCTCCACTTCATCATAACAACCTTGAGGATGAGAGCAGAAAAACACATTTCTGTCCACTTTCCCCAAGCTCCTCCTCACTCCCCACAAGGAAAATCTCATTTAGAACAAAATGATCGCTCCTGTTCTACCTGGGATAAATAAGGGAAGGGTTGGCCTGGAACTAAGAAGCTGTCTACCGAGTGTCACGCACCCCACTTCTCTGGTAGACACTCCCCACCCCAGACCCTTTGCAGACTACGGATGCTTTGATAGGATGTTCTGGAGAGAGAGCATCGTATTCAACTGCTTAACTTTACAAATGAGGAATGTGAGGTTCCTGGAAGGGGAGCGGCTTGCCCAAGTTACACAAATGGCCCACAAAAGGCTTTTGTTAGATGTTCCCAGGTAAGAAGATGCAATAGCCAGTTGAGGTCAGCTACATCGTATCTTCCTGGCTGGGAATAAGGACATGTGGGACTCACTCACCAACCTCTTCCTTCATTTTCTGACAGCAAAGGAAACAAAAGGGAGGATGGGGGAAGAGGGGGAAAAAGGAATATTCCAGATCTGTAGGTTTCCCCTGCTTTCTCTAGGGACGGGCTGAAGCAGAGGACCCTGTGCTCACAGCGCTGTAAAAAGTTCAGGGCACAGACCAGAGATGAGGGCTGGGCTGTGAGTCCAGTCAATTTCACCTTGTTATTTACATTCTGCGAGGCTTCTGGGATCTGTCTCTGGAGGACAGACAGGGGGAAGGTCAGCTCCTTTTCCTGGCAGCTGTGCACAGAACAGGGCCTCTGGGCTAGGCAGCTGGGCCCCACAACTCTGCAAGCTGCCTCTTTCTGCTCCAGAGTCCCAGGCCCCAGGGCTGCTGCTGCCTGTCTAATGAGCTGTCAGAGGCGGCTGCAGCCCCATGTGCCTTCCTGTGTTGACTCCCATGGCTATTTTAAGCAAGGAAGATGGTGGGAAACAGGAAATATCCCAACTACTAGAAGTTTTGCATCCTCCAAGAACTGGGGCTGGGAACCAGATGTCTCTGGTGGGCAGCAGGAAGCCAGGTCGTGCAGTGTCACTTGGAAGGCTCAGGGCAGGACCCGGGAGTGACACATGGAGTCTCTGGGCAGCTGGGGCCCATCCCAGGCTGCCTGCTGCATTCTACATCTTCCTCGGATGCCCCAGGACTCTGGGGTCACTGTGGACAAAGTCAGATTGGAGATGTGGCTGAAGAGATGCACATCAGCTGAAGCCTTGACCTTTTTGTTTAGATAACAAGTCCTGTAAGTGGCGGCTAAAGATGCCCAGTTCTGGTGATAAGTGAAGAATTCACCGTGTAAACCCGCGCAGGCTTCTCTTAAGCCGAGCTGGTAGAAACGAGATTCCAGTAAAAACGCTTAACCCTTGGCCTTTTCCCCTATCTCATCTGGTTGCGAGATCTATTATTAGTGATGTGGGCAAAGTGGGCATCAAAAGGCGGGAACAGTGCTATCGGCTGGCAAAAAGTGGGGCGGGGGCGGGTGGTCCAGGTTTGGAAGCCATATTTTCCAGGATACACTAAATTACAGAAACTATCAAGACAAGGCAGTAAGACAGCTCCAATTGAGTTTTAAGAGCACATGCTTTAAGGTCGTAAGGGTCTGGATGCTAAACCATTTATTAACTGTGGGATCGTGGACAAATGATTGAACCTCTCCAAGCCTCACTTTGCTCATGTGTAAAATGGAGGTAATAATAGCCACTTTGCTAGGTGGCCATGAGAACTGACAAGGTGGACCATGGCGCAGAGCCCGGCACAGAGCACGTGTTCAGCAAGGGGTGAAGATGCTGATGATCATCGGAACAGCAGGGCCATCGTAGGCATCTGGTCACATCCATGTCCCCACCCCTGCCCCCACAGCTGCCACGACGACAGCACATCGGCTCTGAGCACAGCTCCAACTCCTGTGACACGGCTAACGCACCTGAGGACCCGAGGCCAATGACCCACCCAAGGCTGTCTGCCCAGGAGATGCCAGAACAGACACGGGGACAGAGCGCCTGCCTGGCGGGCGGCATCCGCCAGCAAGAGCGGTGGACGGGGAAGGAGGCGCACCTGGCATGGAGTACTTGGAGAAGTCGGGCAGAGTGTGGGAGAAGGAGACGGTGCTGCCCCCGCTGGGACTGGACATGCCGCTGGCGACTGGCGAGGAGGACACCTTCCCGTTGACGGTGGCGTAGTTGGGGAGGCTGCCCGCTCGGTCGCCCATGGACATCCTCCGCTTCTCCGGCAAGGCCGGGGTGGGGCTCCCTTGTCGGAAAGCCGCCGAATCCGGCGAGGGGGAGGTGGCGGGGCTGCTCAGGCCGGGGTAGTAGGCGGGGGACACAGGGAAGGAGGGCGTGGAAGGAGCCTGGTAGCCCGAGGCGCTGCTCTGCCGTGACAGCGTGGGTCTCCGGTCCTCAGGGGTGGAGTAGCCACCGTAGGGTACGTGCCGGTCCAAGCTGGGGCTGCCGGGAACCACAGATCCAGACCCTCCCAAGTGACGGCCCAGGCTGGGGCTTCCGGGGCTGGCTACTGAGTTGCCATGGAGATTGGAGGCCAGGGTGCCTTGGTGGGCCCCGGGGTGCCGGCCCAGGCTGGGGCTCCCGGGAGTGGTGGCCACATTGCCGTGGAGGTTGGAAACCTGGTGGGCCCCAGGGTGGCGACCCAGACTGGGGCTTCCCGGAGTGGTCGCTGCACTGCTCTGGGGGCTGGAGATGGTGTTACCATGGAAACCGGTTCCCAGCGGACCCATCACCTGGCGGTGGCTCAAACTGGGACTGCTGGGGGCAGCCAGGCTGGGGTTCACGGCCCGGCGGCCAAAGCCAGGGCTGGGGGGCGTGTTGGTGCCCACTGTCCTGTGCCGTGCCTGGGGGCTCCCAGGCACCGTGTGGACGCCGGCCACACTGAACTGAGACCGGGCCTGGGCCTCCGGGCAGCCGAACTGCTGCAGTGAGTAGTCGGGGCTGCTGTAGCTGCTGCCTGCAGTCGGCAGAGGAGGAGAGCTCTGGTAGCTCCTCTGAGCCGAAGGGCTCGGCTGGCCCAAGCTGCCGGAGCGGAAGCCAGAATCCAGCAGAGGCTGGGTGGGTGTCCGCGCGCCCTGGTCGCTGCTCTCCCCGGATGGGAAGCTCCCCACGGAAGTGCTAGAGAGACAGAGACACGGGCAGGCCGAGATGTCAGCAGGTGGCATTGAGGGAAGGACAGGCTTTCCGTGAAGCTTCAGCCCTCCCTCCAACCACTGTGTTGTCCAGTCATTCAGTCATACCTGACTCTTTGCGACCGCATAGACTGCAGCCTGCCAGGCTTCCCTGTCCTTAGCTCCTCTCGCATGAACAGAAAAGTCAAGGCTTTTGCACATCACCTTACGTTCAAGATGTCAGAAGATGAAACTGAGACTCAGAGAGGTTAAGCAATAGGCTTACAGCCACACAGCTCACGAAAGACCAGGATCTCAACTCAGCAGTGTCGGATTCCAAAGCCCTCATACACTCAAGCGTCACCCTGACAGCTCAACCACAAGTCAGAGCGAGATCTCTGCTATCGAAACTGAAGGTGGCTGTCCTGTTGCCCCCTCCAGCATCACAGAAATGGAACACTGGAGATGGAGTTAAACCACTTGGGCCCTGGTCCTCCTGGAAGCATCTTCCCCTGACTCACTTTCCCCAGGTGAGTTGACATTTACACACTGAGCGTGTAAATGGGCATCCGTTCCTGGGTAGCTCCAAAAAAAAAAAAAAAGACAAAGATGAAGAAGTCTCATAGCAGGAGATTTCAGCTCATTATAGGATCTGTTTTCTAGCCATTGGATCTGGCCACTAATGGAGCAGGCTGCATTACATGGTAATGAGACTCCCATCATTAAGAGCATTTAAGCAGAGGCTGACCAACCTCTTGATTTGAATGCTGTAGAGGAAATTTCCTCCACTGGGAGGTTAGATTAGATGAGCTCAGAAGTCGCTTTCAATTCTAAGACTGATGAAACTCAGTTCAGAGGGCACTGTACCTGGGAAAATGGCCACAAAGGTTCTCCTCTGAAATTAAGTACAAGTCCATGCAGGAGTACAGGAAATGGCCTGTAAATTGAGAAACCTGGATTCTGCTTTTCAAAGTTTTCTCAATTGATGTTTTCAAACTGTGGTGCTGGAAAAGACTCTTGAGAGTCCCTTGGACAGCAAGGAGATCAGTCAATCCTAAAAGAAATCAACCCTGAATATTCATTGGAAAGACTGATGATGAAGCTGAAGCTCCAATACTTTGGCCACCTGATGCGAAGAGCTAACTCATTGGAAAAGACCTTGATGCTGGGAAAGATTGAGGGCAGGAGGAGAAGTGGGTAACAAAGGATAAGATGGTTGGATGACATCACTGACTCCATGGACATGAGTTTGAGCTAATTCCAGGGGATGGTGAAGGACAGGGAAGCCTGGCATGCTCCAGTCCATGGGGTCGCAAAGAATCAGACACGACTTAGCGACTGAACAACAACAGCAACACAGATAATGAGGGAGGTGGGTTAGATGACTCTGATTCCTTCCAGACCCAAACTTCCTCAGTGACATGGCAGCAGAGACAAAGGCTGTCAGGGACCATGCACAAGCATTGGCTGCAGGGAGGCAGCAGGCAGGCTCGCACAAGGAGCCCTTGGGTGAGGGCTGGCAGTGGGGCAGCCGGGGGCGGAGGGGAAGGGTCCTTACATAAGACGATGCACCAAAGCCTGGAGCCGCAGACTAGGAGTTTGGAGACTGGCCGGCCCCATCCTGGGTTGGGTTGGTTAAGCTCAGGTCCCCAGGGTGATGTGAGGTGGGAGGGCCAGGCAAGAGCCAAGGGCAGAGAGAAGGTCGGGGCCAGGCCAGGACAAAGTCTACCATACATCCCAGAAGAGGCCAGAGTAAAAACACCACTTTGGTACAGAATAACCTGGATTCTGAGAAATGAGGGGAGGGAGGAGCTGGGGACACGGAAATGGCGTTTCGGGTGATTAATCCTGGAGGAGGAGCTGGCTTCCTGAATCTGACTGCGGGAGGAATTTGAGTGAGAAAAAGTGAAAACTCCCTAATGTCAGGACTTCTTGGATATCAGCATGGTGGGGGGTGAGAGGTGAGGAACATCTCCTCTCCTTTAGAAGAAGAATGCAGCTCCTGCCCAGAGGCGGACCTTTCCCCAAGTGGAGCCGTTAAGAGGCTGGGGAGGGGGCCAAGTGGACTGGGGGTGTGTGCTTGGCTTGAGGTTTCAGATTCTTAAGAATCCAGAAGAAAACTGCCTCGGCTCACCTGCGCCTCACCTGCGCCTCCCACCCCGACCTGGGTGGGGGAGCACACTGCTCACCCCTGCCTGTGGAAGTGGGGGGAGGCGGCTGGATAGTTTCCGGCCTTGTGGGGTCCCAGTCTGAGAAGGGGAGCGGACATGGGAAGGGATGGTTGGGGCAGACGCCCCTCCTGCGGGGTGGAATTCTGGCCAGTGCAGGCCGCCTCCCCACCTGGCACGCTGTGCCCTGCCCAGGCTCATCTCAGAGTCCCTCTCCAATGTCATCTCCCTGTCTCCCCATCATAAAGGCTATGCCCCACCCCGCCAGTCGAGCAGCTTCTCACTGCACCCCAAGCACAGGAGCCTCCCTTTCTGGGAAGTTTCTGGCTTTCCTCTCTGTCTGACCCCCTAGAATGTCAGCCACCCATCCACCAAGACATCCCTCCCCTAACCCCACAGTGACCTGATCCCCAGGCCCCACACCCAATACCTCCACACCCGGGTCCTGTCCTTGCTATGCCGCGAAGGCCCTCTCCCTCCCTTTCACCTTTCAACCCCTGCTCATCCTCTGGCCTTAGTACAAATACTTCCCGTACTTCCAGCCCCCAGAGACCCTCTCTGCAGACTGAGCCAGAAATAACAGCCTCTTGCTCAGAGCTCTTTGCTTACACCTCTGCTTGGAGCACCTCTAACTGCGGCTCTGTGATGGAGGGTTGGGGGTGGGGGGATAGGATAGAGATGTGGACTCTGGAGCCAGACACCTTTGTTCTGAATCCTTTTTCTGCTACTGTTTAGCTGTAGGACCTTGAATAAACTACTTTAATCTCTCTCTGCCTCAGTTTCCTCTTCTGAGAAGTGGGAATAATACTACTACTTACCTCTAGGATAGCTGTGAGGTTTAAATAGAAAGCACTTAGCAAAAGGCCTGGCACATGGGAAGCAGTCACAACATAGTAACTATTCTTGTTCTATTTTAAACTTGGGAGAAGAAGGCTTTCCCTGGCAGTCCAGTGGTCACAACTCCACACTTCCACTGCAGGGGGCACGGATTTGATCTCTGGGAAAGTAAGGCTCCCAGCATGCCGCATGGTGCAGCCAATAAGCAAATAAAAACAAAAGTAATACATTTGAGGGAAGAACTGTGCCTGGTTCACCTTGGTACTCTCCCTGGGGAGTTGCATGCTGTTGCCATGCACCCCAGTGAGCTGGTTTCCCAAGGGCAGCACCCTGGATACGATTTCTGCCCGTCCATGCCCTAGTTGGATCCAAGAAGCCTCATCCGTGCTGCCCTGGGCCTGGATCCTCACCCCCACTTACCTGTCAGCGCTGAGGATGGGGCTGCTGGTGGAGAGGGGGCTGGGGGAGACAAAGGAGCCTCCCAGGGTCCCATTCCTCAGGGGTGTCTCGTGGCCATAGGCCTGCGCAACTGGGGCGCTAAAGCTCTTGGGCTCAGGTTCCTGAGTCCTGGGCCCAGCCACCGCCGTTCGTACCACCGACTCCACGTAGCTCCGGGGCTCTGGAAGGGGCGAGGGGACAGGAACTGAGTGTGGATCCAAGGGGTGCAGTGTGGACCCCACCCAACCCCAGGGAACCCGCCTCCCCAGAGCCTGTGAGGGAAATCCCAAAAGGTCAGCCAAGCAGACGAGGGGCACATCTCCGGGGCTCCTGCCTGCCCAGGTCCAACCTCTTTCCAGCATCATGGAGAAGCTGTGAGAGCCCCCAGAGAACCTTTAACTAGAGCCTCATTCTGAGAAGCTTCCCAGAAAGGGACCCCAGAACACAGCCATCACAGAGTCCTCCCTGCTGGAGCTGGGACACCGTCCTTCACTGGTGCCCCTCTAGCTGAGCTTTTCTTCCCCAACCCTGCTACCCAGGTCCCCAGGCCCTTCTCGGCTCCCCAGGCACTGCTGTGGTCTGGGCTGTCCGTGGATCCCAAGCTCCAGCCCAGCCTTGCGTCTCGGGATGCTCACTCCACCCCACACCCAGAGTCCAGAAACAGGCTTGCTGGCCTAGCAACAGGCCTGTGTGGGTGAGTCACACCCAGCCCCGCGTGCCAAGACACACCCATCCACCTTGCCTGACACACTTAGCCTGCCTCCCGAGACTGACATCATCATCCCGCTTGGTGTTCAGAATGGCCCGAGAGGAAGGCTGGGTGGGGAAGAGGGGGGCAAGTGCCAGAGAGGTCACTGTGCAGGTGAACGTGCTGAGACCTGGAGAGTGAAGGGGCTGGAGGCGCAACCAGACCCAGATTTCCTGTACCACCCGCCCCGCTCCCGTGCTCCCCCCAACTGCCCCCCGCCCCGGTCTCTGGAACTCCCCCCCATGCCCCGCCACCCCACCACTGCAAACCAACTCGCTGTCAAACAGGAAGGAGAAGGAGGACACTCTTGGCTTCTCCAGGGACAGACAGTGTTCCTGCCACCTCCGAACCTGGCACCATTTCTGAGGACGTCCCAGGAGGGACGTGACCTGAGCACACACCAACATTCTGCCCACTGCAATTAGGGCAACCACTGAAACCAGCCTGAGAAGTGGAAGAACTGCAGTGCGTGCAGCCCTGGGGCGCAGGGAGGGGGCCAGACAGTCTCTCTCACAGCTACTCAATGCTACTGTTGTTATCGCGAGAGCAGCTATGGAGAGCACATAAAGCAATGAGCACGGCTGTGTTACGATAAAATGTTCCAAAAACAGGATTTGGCCATACTTTACTGGTTCCTGATGTAACATGTCTTCTCAGCCCGGAGAAGTAGAGAGATTTGCCCCAGAACACAGAGCCAATCAGTGGCCATAGCTACTATCTCCTGACTCCCAGTGCTGGTTCTGGATGGCCAAGAGAGGGACCACCGCATTATGGGACACTCAGCGTTGGCTGCTGCTACCCAGAACTGCAGCCCATCAGCCAGAGAAGAGCCAGGTTCACAGACTATCAATAACAGTAAAAATAGCAAACAACTACATGAGCAAAGTAGAATTTGGAGAATGTAAGTATCTTGTCTGGACCACACAGTAGCAGGTGACAGAACTGACCTAAGAACCCCGGTAGCCTGGCCCAGAGACTGCTCTTGGGCCCTGCATATACCGCCAGCTGAAAATCAGGGGAATCGGGAATGTCAGTGTGTTTTTAGCCTTGGGGAGCTGGCTCCACACCCTGGGGTAACTCAAATTGACAGAAGGGACCCTCAGAAAGGAACTCACACCCACAGAAATGGCAGTTGAGACCCAAGGCCAGAGCCTACCTTACTGGCCCATCCCTTACCTCCTGGGTCACTCTCTGAAAACTCCGCCTGGACCCCTCCAGGCTCTCAGCTTCACCCTAGTGCCCACAGAACCCAGTATCCTTCTCTCCCACCCAGAGGTGGCAAGAGGATCCATCTGCTCCCTGGCTGCCCCAAGCTCCTTGCTGATCTGTACTCACAGCGCCTGGCACACGATGAATCCTCAGTAAATGTCTGTCTCACAAACTAGTAGATGCGTGACCTTTACCCTCTGCCCCCTATCTCCCCCCACCACAGAGGTACACAATGACTAAGACCTAAGTGGCCCACATTCGTTTTTCTCCTTCCCTTGAATTCTTGCTGACCCCTAAAAGTTCAAGCTAAAATGCCCGAGGGTGAGCCCTGAAGTCTGCACTCCTCTCCACCTGCCGTGTCCTCCTGACTCATTCCCCAGCCTGCTCTGTGTCCCTGCAGGCCAGCTTTTACTGAGAGCATCCCCCAGATCCCTGGGCTCAGGGCTCCAGAGGGTCTGGGCCTTTGGCAGCTGGCTGGTAAGCAGTGCTAACAGAGGATGAGGGTGGGTGGGGAGAGAGAGTCAAAGTTCCAGGGCCGAGTCCTCCACCCAAGATACCAGCTCCAGGGGTGGGCCCTCTCCTCCAGCTCCTCCTGGTTTCTTCAGGCCTGGAGTGCTGATGGCTCCTGCCTCCTGCTCGGGAGCACCCGGGGAGGTGCTTCACCATCCCTAGTTGGTTTGCCCAGACCATCTAAATAGTCCATTAAACCCTCTTCAGTTGCCCCACTGGAATGAGCTATTTCCTGCCAAGACCTTACGGTGGGTAAGCAGCTCACATTATTGGATCAGCACCCCATCCTATTAAAAAAAAAAAAAGTACATATACCACTTCTACCATCAGTAAAACCGAAGTAAGGCCACCCACACCACCCAGTCCTAGGGTCAAGACAGAGCCAGGCCTGGGACCACAGACACTGACTCCCATCTGCCCTGTTTACCATGAGTCAAGGCCAGGTCCCCACTAACTCCTTTTGACCCAAACATAGTGTCAGGAACCCGAGTGTAGTTTGCACAGAACACCGAAGGGACAGTATATTATAAAGTTGGAGATATCAGAAAACCTGAAACGGCTTTAGGATGGCCACATTCATAAAGCATCAGCCTCAAGAGCCCCATCCTCATTCCCATCAGATCCTCAGCTACAGAGCAGCTTACAAAGGAGCTCTCAGAGGACTCAGCCTCTGAACTTGAAGACAGGACCACTCATCCAGGGAGGAGCACCCGCAGCGGTTCCCACCATGTTTGCAGTTAAGAGCCCTGTGAGTTCAGGTGGCCAACTAGCCTGGGGGCTTTGCTCAGGGGCTCCCAGCCTGTGGATTTCAGACCCAGCCCTCCTGGCCCTGCCCTCACTTTATTCTCCGTCCTCTTTCTTGGTTGGCTGGTTGGCTGCCCTTTCCTGACCTTCCAGGACTAAATCAGGGTAGAGACTCACTCAATCTCTGCTCCTCATGAGCCCAGAGCAGGAGCGACCCTTTGGGAAGATATTTGATTTTCTGAGTCCAACTTCATAACTGTTCAAAACCAACCTTGAGGGCCAAAACAGCCCATTTCCCCCAAGTTTTCAGACTCAGATTCCGTCTTGAAAATACCCCCTTTCCCTATGTCTTCCCATTTTCCTCTCCTCCCCACTTTAGTACAACATACAACGTGTGAGCTCCCTGTCTTTCACTTACTGGAAGGGTGAGCGGGGACAGGCTGCTGAACCTCTCTGGGACTCTGTTCTCTCGTCTGTAAAATAGGAATGAGGACACCCACCTGCCCAGCCTGGATCAAGTGACAGGAGATGAGCAAGTCCCTTCTAACTCCTTCTTGCTAGCTCCAACACCAGTGTATCAGCAGCCCCACAGTTGTCTGCTGGAGTCTGCCTCCCTCTACCCCCTCTCCTGCTGTTCTGCACACTCTCTCCTGCAGTTTCCTCCTCTCCGCCAATCCTGGAGCAGCTAGACCCAGGGCAACGGGGACTGGGAAGGGCAGGAGATGTAGGGCCAGGAGGGTGCCTCGTGCAGAACATTCCAGGAGCCCAAACCCATTCCAAGAGGCTGTTGGAGGCTGAGAGCAGCTGGCCTGGAGGCTTGGTGACGGCCCCACCAGGCTGGGGGCACTGTCAGCTCCTGACCCACACCCTCAAGTGCATTTTCTGCCTCGCAGAAAACGTTCTTTGCCTGGAGAGAAACAGCCTGCTTGGTCCGAGTTAAATGAAGACACGCAGATGGAGAGAAGAAAGAAGTAAAACTTCTGAGGCCCAAACCAGGAACTCAAAAGTTGGAATTCCAAACTGAGACTGGGCCACACGGCCCTCCTCTGAGTCCCCATCATACCCTGTTCCTCCCCCAGCTCAGCATTTCGACCTTGTGCTGAAATATCATCCTGACCAGGCGATCTCACTCATCTTTATGCCCTCAGTCCCTAGCACAGGACCTGGCACAAAGTAGGTGCTCCATAAATTTGCGTTGCACAGAACTACCTTAAAATACCCAGATGGCACTGTGCAACTGTCACCGAGGATTTCAGAGCAGGAGGGATCCCCAGAGGGGCCATTTCTAATCTGCAGTCTTCCTTTGTGCCAAATCCACCCATCTAATCATGGGAACAGACAGAACCTCAGCTGAGTGTTCCCTGTTTCTATTCCTCTAGGAAAGAAGGCTCAACCATTTATTTCCCTATTCCCCCACTGGAAGATCCTTGACTTTGACCTCATACCTTTACTGCTATGGGCTTTCTTCCTCTGCTTCTTTCATGGAGAAGGGCACCCTGTACCCACACCCAGTAAAGACACTGTTCATGTTTAGAGGTCATACCCTGTGCAATCAATGGAAAGCAGCGTACACTCTCAGCCATGCCCCTCATCATCTGTCTGGGCCTGGACAAGTCATATAACATCCTTACACGTCACCTCCTCATCAGCAAACTGGGGCTCCTACCACCTTCCTCAGTGCTTCTGTGATCATTAAATAAGATGACTGTGACGATGACCCACAAGCTCCCATCCCTACCTGCTGACCCTCACTCTGCACCACACTGCCTCTTGCTCCAGCCTCCAGCTCCTCCTTGCTCTCAATTCACTGCCCTTGCAATTCATGGGGGGAAAAAAATGCTATTCCTCCCACCCCAGGGCCTTTGCAAGTGCCCTTTACTTCTACCTGGAAAGCTCTTCTCCCATCCCAGTGTCACCAAGTTAATGCCACTCACCCTTGCATCTTACTTCTCCAGCCAGGGTCTCATAAAAACCGTATCTCTTCACTTTGGAGCACTTATCTCAATAGTTCTCGGTGATAATTTAATTCTGTCACTGGTCATGTATTTGTTCCATGAGATTAAGAACCATAGCACTGCTTATCCCCCAGAGTGCCTGGGACATAGTAGGCACACAAAATATTTATTGAATCAATGAAGAACAGAATGAACAGAGGTAAAGCATTTACCATGGCACCTTGAACAGAACACTTCCCAAAAGTCTTTTTCTCCCCCTTGCTGAATAAGCCTACTGGTTATTTTTCCTTATAGCCATCTTTTTCTGCATTCACACAGATCAGCAGGGCAATCAAGCAGAGCTTCAGAGGGTCAGCAAAGAATATGCTTTAGTCTGACCCAGAAGGCGATGCATGAGTCAGGAAAAATGGAACCTGCCGCCCACATCCTTGGCCCCTGTCCCCACTCCAGATCAAGACAACAATTCCAATGCCCACGCTGGAATCCCAGGGCATGGCGCCTGGAGGCAGGAGGAGGGTTTTGAAGTGGCCACTTGATTAGGAAACAGGAGACCAGTAAGTCCAGTCTAGTCCTGCTGCCTCTTAACTGTGACCTTGGGCAGATGCCTACCCCCACCTCACAACACGGACCTCAGGTCCACATTCCTGAAAACGGTGGCTGCGGTAGAGCGGATCCCTAAGGCCCTTCCCCTGCAGACTCCATGCCTCCAGGAGAGATGAAGGAGGGTCAGAGGGCTCGGGGCCTGTAGATAGAGATTCACTCATCAGGTGCGAGGGCCAGGTGTCAGTCCCATTCTGTTGAAGTGTCATCCCCAAGTGAGGAGCACACAGCCAGGGCCTGTCACCCTCAGACCTTCCCACTGGAGACTGAATAGGTCTCACCAGTCTGCGGAGGTCAGCAGCCACAAGGAGAGCTGAGAGCCTCCTAGGTGGGTGGGCTCCTGGAACACAGCACCCTCCAGGCCTCAGCTGATTCTAGACTCCTGGCGAGAACCAGCAGCCCACCTCCAGCCCGGGGAAGGTCCTCCCCTTGGGTGTGAGGCTGGCCAGGGCTGAGAGCCCACTGTAGTTTATCCCATTCTGGAATCTGTCCTGGGAGGCTGCCTTGTTCTGCACCCCCCAGGCAGTCTGGCATTGTTGCCAGAACTCTGGCTGGCTAGCAGAGGGCAAAGCTTTATGGAAAACTCCAGCCATCTTACACAGGTGACAGCAGATTCAGAGAGGTACAACCCATGCCCACTCTGGGGATAGAAAATCAAGGTAGTGGGTGCAAAGGAAGTGGGAAATGGGCTTAAGAATCTGGAAGGAGGAATTCCTTCATGGTCCAGTGGTTAGGACTCTGCCCTCTCACTGCTGAGGACCCAGGTTCAATCCGTGGTCTGGGAACTAAGATCCCACAAGCCAAGACGCAGCCAAAAAAAAAACTGGATGGAGTCTTTAAAGAAACCAGGCCACACGGACCCAGGGCCCAGGTGGGAAGTCAGAACATACTAACACATCCAAGCTGGAAGGTGCTCAACACCCACCTCGTCCAACCCCCTTCCCCCACTTCCCCCAGGGTAGAGATGGGGACATGGAAGCCCAGGCCACCCAGGCCAGCATCTCCCTCATTTCACCTGCTGCTCTGAGTCATCCTTTGAATTCTGTTCCTAATAAATTAGTTAAAGGCCTTCAACCAGATTACATCTCCTCTCTGCTTCTCCATGTGCAAGGCTGAGTTCATTTAAATCAGGGGTTAAGCCAGGACACAGATGTGCTAACCAGATACTGTCACAACTGTGCATGGATGTCCCGAGGCATCTGTGTGTGAGAGGGGGGCGGCGGGGTGGGGGGTGGAAATCCATAGCTTTTTCAAAATCCCCCCCAAAACATCCAAGATCCCAGAAAGACAGACATCCTACCATCTGTGCTGATAGGAAACCAGGCAAGGGCTTCCAGAAGGCAACTTGTGGCTCCAAGACAGTGGCTCTGAACCAGGAGTGATTATCCCCCCGGGGACATTTGTCATGTTGCAGACATTTTGATTGTCATGACGGGTGAGTGCTACCCACATGTGTAACAGTAGGTAGAGACCAGGGATAGTGCTAAACACCCTACAGGGCTCAGCATAGTCCCCACAACTAAGAACTGCCCGGCCCAAACATCAGTAGTGCTGAGGCTGAGAAATCGTGCTCTGAGCTGTAGATGTGGGGCACACCCAGAAAGTGGGATAGGAGCCCCCGACATCTGAAAGGGCTGCTGTACCCCAGGCAGTGGGCGGGAATGCCTCCCGGGAGGAGCATTTTGTCAGCAAGGTGGCACCGCACTAGTGCCTGGACCCTAGGCCACACCAGGACCCATGCCCTGGGGCTGTGGGCACCTCAGTCAGTATCCAGAATGACAGCTCATCACCAGAGTGACAGCTCATCACCCCCCTGATCACCCATCAGGGGGTGGGGATCGGGGCGGGGGGGGGGGCGGCCTATGCGCCCAGCCACATAAGACCTGATCAGAGAAGAGAGCTGCTCCCCACACACCCCCTCAAGCCAGCAGATCAAATGGAGTGAACAGCCATTCCCGGACGCGGAGAGCAGGAAGCAGTCACACAGGAAAGCCACACTTACCTTCAGAAAGCTCTGTCAGCACCTTCCTCTCATCCTCCTCTGAGGGAAGATGGGAAGAGAGGTGAGGAGGAAGGAGAGGCAGGAAAGAGAGGCAGGGGATGAAGGGGAGAGGAAGAGCAAAAAGGAGAGAGAGATATGGATTAACAGGGGTTATTTCCTGAGAGAGAGAGACTTCGCTGAGAAAAGGGCTGAGGCCGAGGCAGAGGCAGGCCTTCCAGGGCGCACAGGTAAGACAGGGCCTCGCTCTCGGGAGCAGCAGGCCCGTGTCCCTGTCACAGCCCCCACGTCTCAAGCAGGAGTGTGCTGGCCTGGTGACCGGCAGCCCCCCCACCCGGTGACTCCGTGTCCCTGGCCATGCAGACATGTCCTGAGTGGGAGGCTGTGCCCGGCTGTGTGTCTGCGTGGCTCACACCAGTCATGCCACCGCCCGCCTACCTGGCTGGATCAGTCTTCTGGGGACTAAAGAAAAGAAGCAAAGTTGGTCCCCAGAACCCCAGTCCAGCCCACACCAGAGTCTAGAGAGCAAGTTTCTGGGCTCAGCCTGTTGGCAATGGTCACTAAGGACCCAGGGTCTCCACTTCCCCTTTCCCAACAAGGAGGAGAGGAGCTGGGGAACGTGACGAGGTGTGAACCTGGAGCGTGTGCGTACATGTCTGCATGTGGTATGAGTGCATGTGCATGTCTGTGTATGTGTGTGTGTGCACGCCTGCATCTGTGTGTGCGTGCACGTCTCTGTGTGTGTGCGCGTGCGTGCATGTCTGTGTGTGTGTGTGTGCACGCCTGCATCTGTGTGCACATGCATGTCTGTGTGGGTGTGCATGTCTGCATGTGTGTGTGCGAGCATGTCTCTCTCTCTCTCTGTGTCTCTGTGTGTATGTATGTATGTCTGTGTTTGTGTGTGTGTGCACGCCTGCATCTGTGTGTGTGTGCATGTCTCTGTGTGCATGTCTGCGTGCATGTCTCTGTGTGTGTGCATGTCTGTGTGTGTGTGTGTGTGCATGTCTCTGTGTGTGTATGTCTGCATGTGTATGTATGTATGTCTGTGTATGTGTGTGCATGCATGTCTGTGTATGTGTGTGCGTGCATGTCTGAATCTGCATGTGCGTGCATGTCTCTGTGTGTGCATGTCTGCGTGTGTGTGTGTGTGCGCGTGCACACACAACCACCTGGACTCTGGGGCACGGGAGCCAGGCTTCCAGCAGAAAGTTAACCACCTCCAGGGAAACAGGGCATGCCTCCAACCGCCCGACGTCAGAGGATGCTGGGAGTGGTGCTGACCCCAGAAGGCAAGGGCAGGAAGGCTCCGTCCCCCTCAACCCCCGAACAGAGAGCCCCACCCAGGCCTGACCTCAGCATGGACACAGAGCCAGGCTGCCACCTTGTTTCCAGAAGAATCCGGAGAACCCACCAGGCCTGGGCCCTGCCCAGGACCACAGGCGTCCTCCAGCTGCCCACTCCTCCCTTCGGCCTCCCCAGCCACCTCCCTTCCCGCTGGAGTTACTCACCGCCGGTGGGGTGCAGCAGGATGTCGGCTGGGTTGTGGGGCTTTAGGCCCAGAGCAGACAAGGGTGTCTTGGCCAGACCTGGAGGGGAACGCACTGCACCGGGAATAAAAGGGAGAGCTGGGAGTGAGTGCGGGTGGAGGCGTGGGGAGGGGGGCTGGGGGGGGCAGCAGGAGGTGGAGCAGAGGAACCAGCCCTGCCCTGGTGGTGCCGGGGCGGCTCCACTCCCCCATCCCGTCCCCTGTGTTCCTCCACAGGATGAAGGGTAAAAGGAGTCAGGAAACAGCCTTGCCCCTCAACCTCCACAAAGTCATTTCTATCCCTAGACCCTGAGTTTCTTCCATACGGTCCCTCCACACTGTGGAGTTATAACACATACGCTAGTTTCTTGGGCACCCTCTGACTTGCTCAATATCATTGTCTCTCTAACCTCTCCTCTCACATTCCCCACCCCACCCCCAAACACACACACACACACACACACACACACCCCACAGATGGACTTAAAGAAAGAGGAATATCAAGATGGCACAATCTGTAAAGGACAGAAGGAGAAGGGACTACCAGCAGAACCGACCCTGAGTCCCCAGGCCAGTCCTCAGCCACAAGTCTTTGACCTCCAGCCAAGCAGGCCCTTTGCAAGCCCCAGGAAGAGAGAATTTCTCAGCTGGGAGCTCTCTTACTTCCCTCAAATCTCAGTGTTCTGGAAGAGGAAAAAGCCCCATCTCTAAAATACGTGGGCAAGAGCATGACCACTCTGCACAAACCCAGGTCACCTCCCAAGCCACCTGTCTGCCCTGGAAGTGTCATATAACACACAGGTCAGAAAGGGCGGTCAGGCTTTCTCCCATCAGCCAAGGACGTGGCTGGACTCCGCGCTGAGCTGCAAGGTTGTTGCTCTGCCCAGTCACAAGATTTCTCAGTGGCAGCTGCCACGTCTCCTAACCCACCTCTGAGGAGAAGGCAAGAAAGGAGCTCCGTGTCTCTTGTCGCAGCTCTCAGGACCCTGCAGAGCCCACAGCCGTGGAGGACAGGCAGTCACACAGGGCCGCCAAAAGCCTAAGGCTGCCTGCCCCACCCCAGTGGCCTCAATAGATGAGCCGTGGCCCTCGGCGTGCCCAGGAGCCACACAGCAGCTCTGGGACCCTCCCTGGCATCTCCTCCCTTTCCCAAAAAGACAGTGAGACCTTCAGGAAACTAAACTCCCAAAATATAATCTTCCAATGAAAGTAATTTAAATAGCTTATTTGTGATCCCCTGGAGGAGGGCACGGCAATCCGCTCCAGTATTCTTGCCTGGAGAATCCCCATGAACAGAGGAGCCTGGTGGGCTACAGTCCACGTGGGCACAAAGAGTCGAACACAACTGAGCGACTAGGCGCACACACACACATTTGTGCACATGCTGGTGTATCCACAGGTGTCCATGGGAACAGAGAGGCATCACAGGAGTCCAGATGGTTGGCCCAGCCATATACTCTATCCTCACTCTGTCCGAGATACCCCACATACAGATATAGCAGAAGGGACAAGTGTGTACAAACACACACATCCAGGCAGGGGGTAGGTCTAGGCCTGCATGTTTCTATGTGTCCCTCTTTCTCTAATTACACACACACATCTTACAATAGACGCTTATCAGGCACTTAGTAATGTTTGTCAGACAAATGACTTTGAATGCAATTAACTATGGAAGAATGAGCCCAGCCTCAGAGACCACTGTCCGTGGGATGACCACGAAGACTCTGGGCCCGTAAGTCTGCCTAGTGGGTGCAGCAGAGCTGCAGGTGAACGGGGTGAAGGGGACGAGGGGACAGAGGCAGTGGGAGGCTCCTCCGGGCTTCCCTCAGCACCTCCAGCTTCCTCATCTCTCCCGCCCTCAGTCCCCAGGCATCCAGCCCTTCTGCTGAGGCAGACGTGGGGGTGGCCCTGAAGCCAGGCAAGGCTTGGCTTCCCCAGAGAAGAATTCCTTGCATTGTTCCGCCTCTGTTTTCTCTCCCAACTCTGTGCCTGGAGGAAACCTCTAACTTATTCTTTCCTCCCCAGGCACCCGGGGCTGACCCACGAGAGGGAGAGAAGAATGGGAACAGAAACAAGTGGTAGAACCAACTCTAGCCCAGCCCAGACGGCTTCATCCCAGGCAGGGTGATGGCCAGGATCCTGGCTGTTTGGACCCACAGGAAATTGAAGCAAGCGTGAAGGTGGTGGGGCGGGGAGCTTCCCAGACGGCTCAGTGGTAAAAGAATCCACCTGCCAATGCAGGAGATGCAGGTTTGATCCCTGGGTCGGGAAAACCCCCAGGAGGAGGAAATGGCAACCCACTCCAGTATTCTTGCCTAGACAATCCCATGGACAGAGGAGCCTGGTGGGCAACAGTCCAGGGGGTCACAAAGAGTCAGACACGACTGAGCACGCACACACGCATGCACATGCAGGTTGGGGAGTTAAGACCAGGGAGAGAGATTCCAGGAGCCTGAAGCCTTTTATAAGGCTAGAGAGCTGTCTTGAACAGACTGCCCTGGGCTTTCATGGTCCAATACAGTAGTCATGAACCACATGGGGCTATGGCGCACCTGCTGTGTGTCCAGTCTGAACCGAGGTGTCATATGAGTGTGAAAACACACAGTGGATTTCAGACTTGTATGAAACAAGAATGAAAAATATGTCTTTATATTGATTACATGTTGAAATCATACTTCAGATCCTTAGGGTTAATACAGCAAAAAATTTTTTTGGGGCCACACTGCGAGGCTTGTGGGAATCTTAGTTCCCAGATCACGGATTGAACCCAGGCCCTCGATAGTGAAATCACAGAGTCCTAAACACTGGACCACCAAGAAATTCCCTAAATAATACCTATTATTAGAATGAATTTCACCAACTCCTTTTTAGATTTCGTAAAAAGATTGTAGGATAATATTCTCATTAACCATTTTATTTCTACTTACCTATAGAAATGATAATACTTTGTGGATATTTTGAGTTAAATTAAAAAATCATTACAATTAATTTCTCCCATTTCCTGCATGTTCTTTAATGGAGCTGTTACAAAGTTTCTAGTGCAAACAGCTCATGTTATTTTTCTGTTGGACAGTCCACTCACAAATGTATGCTGGACAGTCCACTCACAAATGTAGCTTCCTGTGTGTCCAAGATGGCCCTCCCAGGTGGCACTAGTGGTAAAGAACCCTCCTGTCAATGCAGGAGATGTAAGAGACACAGGTTAGATCCCTGGGTCAGGAAGATCCCCTGGAGGCTGCTAAGTCGCTTCAGTCATGTCTGACTCTGTGCAACCCCATAGATGGCAGCCCACCAGGCTCCCCCGTCCCTGGGAGTCTCCAGGCAAGGACACTGGAGTGGGCTGCTATTTCCTTCTCCAATGCATGAAAGTGAAAAGTGAAACGGAAGTCACTTCAGTCGTGTCCGACTCTTAACGACCCCATGAACTGCAGCCCACCAGGCTCCTCCATCCATGGGATTTTCCAGGCAAGAGTACTGGAGTGGGGTGCCATTGCCTTCTTCGTCGCCTGGAGGAGGGCATGGCAATCCACTGCAGTATTCTTGCCTAGAGAATCCCATCGACAGAGGAGCCTGGCGGGCTACAGGCCATGGGGTCACTAAGAGTCAGACACGACTGAAGTGACTGAGCACACGGTACGTGTCCAAGATGGTGGCCAACACAATTCTGTTGGCACAGAAGGCAAGCACTGGTGTGTCCTCCCCCCAGCAGGACAGCCAACCACCAGAGAACACGTGGCCAGCTCCAACTCTCCTGTCCTCACCCTCCACCCGTCTCACCTGGACGAATGAATAGCTTGGGTGGACCCCCCTTGTCTAATCCTGGAGCATCACTAGTCTCTTCACCTCTGCCAACTCAGGCCTCTTACAGGAACCCCGAGGCCTTCACAGCCTGGGATTGATCCGTCACTTCTTTCCCAGGTCTCCTCCAGTTCCTCTTCATGTCTCTTCTACCATGAAATGGAACACTTCCTCTCTCCTGGGCTCATCCAGGTTTTCTCATTGTTTGGAAATGTCTCTGCCCTTTAGGGACCTGCCACTCTAGTGAGAACATCAAGTAAGACACAGACTAAAGGCTCCTGTCTGGAGGCCAAGAGATGGATGTGTTGGGCATATGGTCAGCCTGAGGGTTCTTAGCCTTTCTTTCCTTGGTGAAAACTAAGAAGTGGAAGAGGTGCCTGGATGCAGACAGAAATGGGAGTCAGAAGCAAGAAGGTCCATAGGTTATTTTAGGATGTTTCTTTAGGATGAGGGATGTTTTACACATAGGATACAAAGACTCTTAGCAACTAGCAAACCATAATATGGGAGTCCAGGGACCCCAGAGTAGGTCAGCCTGGATCCCAGGATGCAGCTGCTGCATCTTAGATGTGTGAGCGTGGACAGCAGAAAAGAAGTGAAGGGAGGTGAGGAAGGGAAGCAGAAGGAAGATGAGCCGTAGGGATGAGAAGCGGCAGGTTCTGGCCCCACCCAACTCTGCCCGCACTGCCAAACCTGGGAAGCTTACACAGGCCAGAGGGTACCCAGGGAAGGAAGGCTGAGTGTGGAGTTCTTACCCCCACTGGGTGGTGGGCTGGTCGGAGAGGTTCCCTCCATCTCCTCGAAGGCCTCCTTGTAGCTGTGCAGATGGGGCTGCAGAAGGAGAACAAGGGAGGAAAACCATAGTTGTGAGCCTGGGGAGGTGTTACCAGTTACCAGCCTAACCAGTCATCCTTTCCAGTAAACACAGAGGTCAAAGGCAGATCCTCGTCACCTGTGGCCCCAACAACTCCTTGTAGCCGAGAGAACAGAAAGTGACTGATTGCAGGGCAATCGTCCAGCAGTACCTGTCCTGGAAATGTTTCACAACAGGGCCAAAGAGAAGGGACAGAAGGCAGGAGAGAAAAGATGTCCAAAAGCCATTTTTGTCCAGAAGGACCCATTAACCTGGGATTTTACCAAATATGGACCACTCACATCAGAATCTTCCAGAATCAGATTCCTGGGTCCCACCCCAAGTCTAATAGGCTAGAATTTCTACAGGGGGACTTGAGAATCTACATTTTTAACAAACTCCCTGGTGATTGTTATGCTTACTAAAGTTTAAAACCTACTTCCTCAAACTGCTAAACTGTCTCAAAAATACAAACACTTGGACACTGAAATTATCTATCTCCCAAGGAAACCCTACATCCAGAAAGGGTTCAAAAACAGTTAGTCTGTAGGATCTGGCTGGAGTCTAGAGTCTGTGGTCACCTACATCACACCAGGGTCCTTACCACCCTAATAAAGGATGCTCTCTGGGGCTCAAGAAGGGAACCTCAGTCTCAGTGTTCATGGAAGAAGTAGGGGAATAAAAGCTATTAAGAGAGGGAAATTGGCTCCAGATTCCACAAGCCATAGAGAGGCCCTAGGCTGAGGAGGCAGGGAAGGAAAAAATACTGAGTTTACTGACAGGTCACAGTTACTCAGATGACCATCAAGTCCCTCAGTAGTTCAGGTGGGCTCCACTACCCTCTGTGGCCCCAGGACTCACCTCTTTGGGCCGCCCTCCAGGATTGAGAGCGATAGTAAGAGCCAGCTCTGGGGAGACACATTGGACAGGCGAGCGAACCCCGGGGCTACGGGGGGATGTGGGTTCTGGTGACTGGTTCTCGTACTGCCCATCGCTGGCAGCCCGCTTCCGGAGAGGTGCTGGGGGCTCTGCAGGCTGCTTCTCCCGAGCCTGCACCCCTGGGAGAGATAGCAGGGCAGAGAGGGCAATGAGCAAAACGTGGGGGAAAAGAATTAATCCAACCTAACTCCCCTAGAGGAGGCAGTGACTCTTAGCTCAGGGGGCCAAGCTGGAGCTGGGCTTGCCTCCCCTCACACCTCCTCCCTCCAGGCTCCCTCTGCCCACACCCCAGTTTCTCTGCTTGGTGGGGGAATCTGCTTAGGTTGAGCTGGACTTCAGCAGGAATCTCTACTCTGCACAGGGCTGGGGCCCAGAGCACAAAGAACTGATAGAAGAAACAGATGTCAACTTCTTCCAAGCCCCAGAGGCAGAGGGCCAGAGCTTCCAGGCAAAGGAGGGAAGGTGGAGGGAGGAGAGACAGTCTCCAAGGCGACTGCATCAACCAACAAGCAACACCAGGCCCGTGGGGAAGGACTTGGAAAGACTGAATGACGCATCAGCTTGCAAATGGTGCTCCCGAGAAGAAACCCAAGAAATGACTAAGACCTGTCACGATGTCCCAGCCCCATCTGGCCCCTGGAATACTGCTGGCCTTCTCTGGGGCTCCCCAGCCCTCATCCATCCAGCGCCGCTCTGAAACCTCCCACCCACTTCCTGTATGCCCACACTTTTCTTGCCCCAAAGATGGCCCAGGTTTCCAGGCTGCCCCAGAGCAGCAGGCAAAGAGCCTGCAGACAAGTGCCTCCTGTGCTTTTGTGTACTTCCCTCCCATTCCCCAGGCCTTAACCTCACCCTCCTCCCTTCCCACTCCCTCTTCCCACAGCTGGGCTGCCGCACGAAACCCATTGCCTCATTGAGCTGGCTCCAGAATCCTAGAAAACTTACTCCCTTGGGGCCCAGAGGCCATGACCCAGCCTGCGGGCGGGCCCCTCATCCTCACTACCCTGCAGAAGGAAATTCCAGCCCTGCCTTCACCACAACCCGAGAGGGCAGGCGAGGTGAAGAAAGGTGCTAGGACTTATCAAAGGTTTCATGAGACCCTGTCCACACCAGCCTCAGGCCAGCGCTTGTGGGCTGACCGACCACCCCAAGGCATATACACGCACACACACACCAGACAGCCTCAGCAACGAGCCAGCACAGCCAAGCAGAAATCACCCTCGATCAGACTGAATTGTCATTTACCCTTCACAGCGGGGTCTGCATGGCCCCAAGAATCCCTAGCTCCCACCTGGCACCACCACTGAGGCCACTATGAGAAGCACAGGCTGAGAAGCCTACATACTTGTCATGAACACCAGGCTGCCAGCTGCCAAGTCTAGGGATGGATGCACACACTCTCACACATACACAAACACACACACAGTCACTCCAAGAAGTGCACTCAGACCAGCCCATAATTAGGAGCCTTGTCTGGAAAGCACTTGCAGATGCAGAAGGTCCCTGGTTGGGGTGGTATCCTGAGTTTCCACTGCCAGCTCTTCATTCATCAGAGGCAACCTGCCTACCAGCTCAACCAAGAGAAAAAAGAGTCCCGAGTGAAGACTATAAACCGGACTCACAAACCGCCTTACTTAAAACAAATACGCCCCTTGCCTCAAAGGACCCTTATTTGCAGAAGAGAAAAGTAGGGGTAGCACCATCCTAACCAGGGGCTGCTATGAGGATCAACCCAGATGGAGGACAGGGCACACCTCTGAAGAGCTGGGCAGGGCCCGCTCAGGGACCCTAGGGCAATCCCAGGCTCTCAGCCCTCAGAGAATCGGGGGCGGGGGGTCCCCTACTCTCGCTCAAACTTCCCCCACCTCCACCAAGCCCCCTTCCCCCTCAAGCCTCCCCAGGCAGCTTGGTCCAGAGCTGCCGCTGGTTTCATTCCTGGCAAAAACATTAGAGAGAAACAGACATAGCCATTGATTTTCTAATAATAATTGTGACAAAGGAGGCACATTCGGAAAAGGCTCCCAGGGGGTTGGAACTAAGTTCAGCCCCAAGGATAAAAGAAATGAATTAGGGCTGCACCGAGTTCCCGCTCACCCAGACCTGCTGCCTCCCTCGGCCAGCGCCCATGTCTTTGCAAGGGGCGGCTGATGTCCTTGTTTGGGGATCCGATGTCTGCCCTTGAAAAACGGGTCTGCTTTAACTCAGGGCCCTGACTCTCCTGGAGGGACACAGAACATTCTCTCGGATGCACTCAGAACATGAGCTCCATGTTCATGGGCTGCAGAGGGTTGCAGTGGCCCAGAGAGGAGGCTAGACCGTTGTGGGGAGGGGAAGCTTCCAGGCCATAGAGGGTGTGAGGTCTAGCCCAAGGCAGTCAGACACTTGAGAGCAATCACACCTCTTCTTCAAGCCCCCTCTCCACCGCCACCAGAGTGGGACCAGCTCTGTCTGGAGGCAGGGGGATGGACAGGCTGCCATCCAAAGCATAGGGTCCTGCAGGGCACAGCCCCCCCTGCAGAAGAGGGAAGCCCCACATTCCACTCCCACGGGGACAGACCCTCTCCCACGGAGCGCCCCCCGCAGCCCCAGTGGCCAGCCCCGGGCCATTCTCTGAACACAGTGTCCCACTGTTATCCGCCTTGGCAGGCCCAGATCTGCCCCCCGAGTGCCAGGAGAGCCATATTCCCTCTCTCTTGTCCCTCTCTACAGGAGGGGAGACGGGCCATAGCAGAGGGGAGAGAAGAGAGCCCCATTGTTCCTCAGCCAAGCTGGGACGTCTGGACACAAGCTGACAGCCTGTGTCAGAGGGAGAACACCCCTCCCTCACGTCCCAGAGATGGACGGATAATAAAAATAGCCCCACTCTCTCCCACCAACCTCCTCTCCGCCCAGCACACCCCCCCACCCCCACCCCAGGACTTTCTGTCTCCTGGCCCCGCCCCCATTCTCAGTAGTGCCCTACTCCCCGCATACACACAGGCATGTGCATGTGCGCGCGCGCACACACACACACACACACACACACACACACACACGTGGGTACACACAGCCTGAGCCTGGCAGGAACAGCGGTGGGTCACAGTCATCCTCAGAACCTCCACAGTCAGTCATTCTTCAGCAGGAGACCGGGGACCACAGGAAGTTTATGATGAAAGTGCAGGGAAGACAGGCAGCCCAGGGACTCTGCAAAGTCTTCCCAGCAAAGCTGGTGAATCCAGCCTTCTAAGCCCAGCAGCACAAAGGAGCAGCCAGAAAGCGGCCTTTAGGATAGTAACACACTACACAAGAAGACGTCTGTCGTCCTCCGAGAGCTGCTCACACGCTCTGGGCCTTCCCCACCTCCTGGAGGACAGCGGTCAACTCAGCCCGGGGCCTCCGCCTTGGCCATCAGACCTGCAGAGCGGGGCACGGGGCGCTGGAGCAGCCCCATCTCCCAGGGCCCTCAATTGCTCCCCCAGGATGGTGCTGTGCTTAGGGGACAGCCGGCTCCAAGGCTCCCCTAAAGTGGCCTGGACCTGAGGTCAAAAATCTCCTTCATCTCACACACACACACACACACAACTCTAGAGGCTGTCACCCTAACACATATCAATACACATTGATGTGTGTGATTGAATCATAGATACAGCATGGCTGTATACAGCATCTCCCACCACCCCAGCATCCATGGACAAATGTCCTTGTGCCAGCTTCATCACATGCCTCCTCTACAACCCCCAGACTGGCCGCTTCCACCCTCACAGACCCAGCTCTTCTCTCCAGCCTTCCATTTTCCAAAAGACTGGATTCCTCAGCTCCAGGTGGCAGGGCTGGGTGTCCGACTGCTTGCCTGGGGCTCCGGAAGCAGGGGGATCCGGGAGGCCACCTGCTGGGGCCAGGGCACCAGAAAGCCACACGGCAATCACACTAGCTAACAGCCCCAGGGCAAGCCATGCCAGCTCCCCTCAGGACAGGCCCACCCCCAGAACTGCCCCAAACCCCAGGCCCAGCTGGACACTGCACTCCCCACCACTGGGCCGAGAAGAAGATGGAGGGACAGGAGAGGAGGTGAACAGGGAGCCATTCTGCTACAGCCATCTCCCTATAGTACATGGACTGGGAGAAGGAGGGCCCTGAAAGCACCAGATATTGCCCCTGGGAGTCAACAGCTCCCTCCACCGGCTAAGCCTTTTCCCAGAGCTGCTTAAGGCCACTGCATGGGGTAAACCCGTGCACACCGTCTTCTCCCTGACCTGGGCTTCTGGCTTCCAAGGAGCTGGGATGGGATGAGGGGATTCCCTCCCCAAAGCTAAAAGCCTAAGGGCTTAGATGTCCAGCTGGGGCAGAGGATGCCAGTGGACCACATCACTCTAAAATAGAGCAGCGTGACTCTGGATGGAAGGGCCACCATATTGGAGTACATCAAGTCACTAAGCTAAAGGCACATGGCCAGGCTACAATCCTTCATTTGTCACACTGCGAGAGTGAGCTCTGAGCAATTCAGAGACTTGCCCGGGAGTGTCACAGAGGTAGTCACAGGCAGAGCCAGGACCGCACCCGGGGCTTCTAACTCTTGGCCATGGGTCCTGGAATCAGAGATTCAGGATGAGTCAGAGGGGGGTGCCCTGCCCCACCGTGTGCTGTACTCCAGAATGGACAGAGCAGCAGGTGCCAGGGCATCACTCTGCATCTTGTGCCCGCTGGTCCATGCTGAGCATGGCCTGGTTCCTGCCAAGGCTCTGGCCAGGACAGCCCGGGTGATCTAAGAGCCAAGGCAGCTGGAGAGCTGGGCTGTCCCAAACCCTCACTGAGCGCCTTTGTTGCAAAGACCTGCATGCCCACAAGGAGCCCAAAAGTTGGTCCAGTCACCCCAGACCCTGTTCCCAGCAGGGAAGGCCAAGGCTGGAAGCATCAGGCCATGTCCATGCAGAAAGTGGGAGCACTCGCTCATGCAGAGAGGAGGGAGGCAGAAGGGAGCAAGGACGGAGGCAGAAGGGAGCAAGGACAGAGCAAGAAAAGAAGCGGAGGCAAAGAGAAGAAAGAGATGGAAAGGAGAGAACAGAAGAGGGAAAGGAGGGAACACGAGGAGGAGATGGGAAATGAGGAGGTGGAAAAAAGTGGGCAAAGTTTGGAAGGGAGG